CAAAAAAAAAAAAAAAGTAGACGAAAAAATTGAGAAAAAAACTTCGTGAAAATTGATTTTGTTTTCTTTATACACTGTTTTTTCTCTTATTTTTGCTTTGCTTTTTCGTTCTGGAGTCATTAAAAAGAAAAACAGAAATTTTAATGGCTAAATTGTCGTCTGTATCAAAGATCCTTGTCTTGTTGTACCAAGGAATTATGATAAAAATATTAAGCAAGCTTAAGCGGAATGTTAATGTCGACATTCCGAGTGAACAGACTGCTGCTTGTTAGTCGAAATGATTCAGTTGAGGATAACAGCGACCAACGACTGTGATGGCTTTAATTAACCTCAGTGAACAGTGGAGCTGGTGAGTGGTCATCGGTTCCTTAATGATGATCACAGAAGTACACATAAAAGAAGACGAGTCACATTTCTTGTTCCTAATTTTCTTTTTTTTTTGTTCTTCTGTCGCGATGACTATAAAAATTTATGTTTAATCATTAAAATTTGAAGGAAGACCAAAGAAGAAAAATGCAAAGAATTGGCTTTGCTAGGCTTCACCAATTTTTTTGTTGCCTCATATTTCCCAGATAAATTGATCTGCTAGTTTCTTGCTTGATACTTTAGTTGCTTAGCAAAATTCAGTTTAGTAGAGATGAAAACATATAACATAGCACAAAAAAAGCAAACACTCAAGTCTGTGAAAAATAACTGTCGGGTAAAAAATAACAGCGTATCCCAAATGTCTGTGTTTTTGTACTTGTTTGGGAAAGAAAAAAAAGACTATTACGGGTAAAAAAAAAATTTGTTTTGCTTTAATTTATTTTCTTTAAATGGTCGTGATATTTCTTTGATTAGTATTTTCTGCTTTTAACGTATTTTCTTAGATGAAACAGCTGACGACAATCGTCTGGAAGTACATTTACGGAGAAAAAGCATAACTTAAATTAACGACATTTCCGAAGACATGTTATGTTTCCCACAAGCACAAAGATCAGTAGCAGTCAATTTTTTAACGGAAAACGAGGAGAAACCTCATCATCCTCTTTCCTCTCTTTACTTCAGGAACCTAATTTTTTAGCTTAATATTATTGGAGCTAGATGAGCCATTATTCTTCTTCTTGCTGTCTTTCTCCGGTTCTTGCCTGGATTGGTTTTTTCTCCCAACTTTATCATTCTGAGACATCCTGATAGAAAAGAGGACTCAAAGGAAAAGAAACATGGACACATTTTTTTTGAATGAAAATTGTTGGCTAATGAAAGATGTTGAGTGTTGACGAGAATGCACAAATGGGGAGGGCTAAAAGAGAAAGGAGAACAGGAGTTTAATCAGATATAAAGAAGGAAACTACTGCTCATGCTTTAGATTATATATATATATTTATATATAATGTATTCAGACTACCAGGAAAAAGTGAATATATATATCTCATTTTTTAGGGAAAACTTCCAAAATAGAAGTTTGCGCTGTTTGCGGAGACTTATCAACCGGATATCACTATGAAGTCGCCAGCTGTAACGGATGGTAAGTATACCGTATAATTAGGTTTAGGTGATGCAGTATTACTTGGCAGTAATTTCATATAACGTTTCCTGATAACTGTTTACGAGAGGTGATGCTTCAGGTTTTTTTAATGCAAGGAAATAGTTGTGATGCAAGCAAATTGTTTATTCGTTTTTTTTTTTGCTAAGGCAATTGTTTGTATATGACGTTAAGCTTAGTTGTTATCCGAAATGATCACTACAGTATCACGGTTCGCTCCTCTGATGTTATATTTTGCCAACTATTTTTTGAGTTGTATCTGGAATGCCTTTTGTAAACGGTTCTTTTTTCTTCTGTGAAGGAAGTTTTTCATTTCTGTTAAGAGTAATATTGTCTTATATATTTAGCAAGACATTCTTTCGCCGTACAATAACAGCACATCGAACGTACAAATGTCATAAAA